TCTTTTACTTTGCTCATGTTGCTGGGAGAGGCTGGTCCTTGGGAAAGGACATGAAGCTTGGGAAGGATGGAGAAGGAGAGGAACTCTCTCAACTGCAACAATAGGCCCAAGTGAGTCAGAGATGGTGAGCATTGCACAGGATACGATGTTGCTTAGATCTCTTGTTCACAGGGTCATTACAAATTGTACTTGACTCAATACAACCTAACAAAAATGACACATAAGATAAAATCTTATTGATGAAACCACACAAAGAAATATTTACTCACGTAAATGAAAATGTAAGAAAAATGTCCTGTATTGATTGATAGGCCAAATTACATTTGTTTGTTGTAACTGAGACACAATTGTCTCTGAGTCTTGTCAGAAATGTATCTATATACAGTTTTAAACAAAATCAGACAATCTTCTTAATGGCTTTACTTGTGTTGGGTCCTCTATGAAGGGTTTTATACCATGCTGGTGTTTTAATATTCCTGTATTGTTAAGAAGAATGGTATTGGAATTTGAGGAAGATTCATCAACAACCTGTGTTAAGCAGATGACACAGTTTGACTTGCTGAAAGTGAGGAAGACTTATAATGCATGCTTCAGAATATCAAAGATCAGTCTTCAATATTTATTTTACATCAATATCAGGAAAACAAAAGTTCTTACCAAAAGATAACGTCATATTAGATGGAGAAAAGACCAAAAATGCCAACAATTGACAACCATAGTAATAGCAGTCAAGAAGTCAAAAACACGTTTCCTTGGAAAAAATTAACTGTTAAGTAACTCTTTAAAGTGCTAAAGAATAACGGTGCCAGTCTAAAAAATAAGGTGTGCCTGCTACAAATAATGTTTAGGGTGGGGTTGATTTTTGAAGGTTTTTTTTTTTCCTCTTTTGGTTGTTTTCTATGTGTTTGACATAGGAATTTGCATTTGGACAATGAATAGGGTGACAAAAGAGGAATTAGTGATTTTAAATTGTGGTGTTGGAGAAAAGTACTGAATATACCATAGACTGTCAAATGGAAAAAACAAGTCTGTCCTAGAGGAAGCCACACAAGGATATTCATTAAGTTTAAGGATGGAGAAACTTTGTCACACATAGTTTGGAAATGTTGGTGTTGGAGGTCTGTCCTTAGAAAGAAACATCCTGTCGAGAAAGGGAAGAAGACCTTTAACAAGACAGATTTACACAGTGTCTATCCTGATGGGCTTGGATTTACTGGGGAGAGTGAAGACGATACAGGAGAGAACAATGTTCTGATCTTCGGTTCACTGGTCACTATGAGTCATGGTTGGTTGACTTGACAGGACATACCAACAAAAGCATATTGTTAATATTTCAAATGACCTACACTTCTGTTGTCTACGGACCTAATAAAGTGCACATCTTTGAAAGTCAGTTACTAATACCCATCACTTCATTCCCAAATGTTTACTGTGGCTTGGGATTCCTAAATTAGCATCCTGCCTTTAAGTTGCCCTTCTAATGGAAATACACGTAATTTAAATTGTATCAAAACTCAAGTTCAAACTTACTGTCTTCGAGTCTTAACTGACTCATAGCTGAACCTCTAGTAGATTTTCAGAGGTTATGAATTGCTTAGGAGGAAATAGGCAGTCTTTCTCTTGCAAAGGTACATACAGATTCAAACTTCCAGAAAGTTGAGGCTCCTAGGGTAACAGTAAAACCTTCTATGGATTGTGTCTTCGTGCTATAAAGTATTGCAACCAATCAAAAAAAGATAGTCCAACTGACTACAGTGATTCTGGACTTAGTAGAACATTGAGGAGTCAATGGGTTAGCTAGTACTTCTAGTTACATTTGAACACATGCTTTAGAGTAAGGCAAGAGATTGTTGTTGTTGTTGTTGTTGTTATGTGCCACTGAGTCACCTGTGACTCATAGAGACCCAATGTACAACAGCCCTCAATCCTGTGACAATCTTATTGTCTCTGACACACCTATGCCCATACCTCCAGTCACTGAATCAATCCCTCTCACCAAGGGTCTTCCTCTCCTGTGCTGTCCCTCCACCCTCCCAAGAATGACATCCCTCTCCAGGGACTGATCCCACCTTGCAACATATCCAAAGTAGGTCAGACGAAGCTTCAGAATCCTTGCCTCCAAGGAGCAGCCTGGTTTCACATTCTCTAGGTAAAACTTGTTTGCTTTCCCAGCAGTCCATGGTATAGTCTATACTCAAACTCAAAACTCAAAGGCATCAACTCTCCTTCTATGATCCCTACTCATTGCCCAGCTCTCTGATGCATAGTAAGTAATTGCAAAATTTCAAGAATGGAAGATAATACACACAACAACAATGGAACAGAATTGGCCCTGGAATCTTTTCCTGTGTTTGGCTTTGCCTCATGAGGCCATGAACAAGTGTTCTGCATATGTTAGTTATATTTCTGAATTCTCAAAGAGCTCTGCTAACATAGTCCATATAGAGTTTTCCTGCTCAGCCAAAAGCCATGCCTCTGTAAGGGACCAAATCGTCTGGCAGTTCTGAGTGGTACAAACATGTGACACACAGCCTTGGAAACCGCCTAGAGAAGGGAGCTCTGGTGGCCTAGTGTCAAGAAGCTGCACTGCAATCCCAGAGGTACGTGGTTCGAATCTATCAGATGCTTTGCTGGAGATGGAGGGGCAATCTCCTCCTGACCAGTCAGATCTGATTCAATGGTCCACACACCAAAAATAGTAAAACAAAATGAAAAAAAAAAAAATAAAAACCAAACCACATAGAAAGTCAGCTATGAGTTATTTCTGACTTGATGGTAATGAGTTTTGTGTCACTGTTGTTAAATACCCCTAGTGGTTCCCACATTAGATGGGTCTACATAAAAAAGTTGACTCAAGTTAATCCGAAAAGCATAGTGAGATTTTGAACAATGATCACGATGATCAATAACCAATGATCATGGTCATAATCAATGATCAGTGACCAAAATCAAGACAGTAGTATTGAATAGAAAGCTTGCTAATATTCCTGTTATTAACATGATACCATAAATATTTTAATGAGGTCAATTTATACTAGCAATGAAGTCATACCAAACTTTGATGTGCCTCAATCAAAACTTTTCCTAACTAATTGAAGCTGATAAAAGACTACAAAATTCACTGACCCTATGTTGCCAAGCCTGTGTTGTATTTAATTGGAGACACTTCAAATCAATAACAGTGGCACTTAAAACCAACAGTATGCAGACCAGCCAAATAATTCAGAACTGCCCAGAGTATTCAATGCTTAATTAACATAATCTTGAAATAATCCTCTGTCTTACTATTAAAACTCCTTTTATTATTTTTTCTAGTGAACTCTTCAGTGAATTTTTTCCAACCACAGTGATACAGTAGTAAATGGAGAAAAGACTGGTAAGTTATAAACATCTGTGCGCTACAATTCATATTCGTTAGTTAATGCAACAAATGGAGAAAATTTGAAGCAGCCAATAATTAAATTTTATTCGGGTCCACAACCAACATCCCTGATCGCAGCAGTCAAGACATTAAAATCATTGCAATTAGGCGAGTTCATACCCAAGACCCTTTCAAAGGGATAAAAATCAAAGATGACATTTAAAAACTAAAGTGTGACATATGTAGGTCATGGTATTTTTCAGCTGGTTCATATGCGAGTGAACATTGGCTAATAAATAAGGAAACAAAAGGAGAGACAATACCATTATGTTGGTGTTGGTGAAGGTTTATTGAACACATCATGAACCATCAGACGAACAAATTTATTGTGGAAGGAGAGCAGCTACGTTGTCCCGTTGTTCACACCATCAGTGCTCTCTCATTAAAGGCAAGGATTGTGAAAATTCATGTCACAGACTTTGGAAATGTTGTCAGGACGTCCTCATCAAAGACAACATTCTCAGAAAAGTCGTGAGTGAAAGGAAAACCCTCAACGACATGGATTGACACAATGACTGAAACGATGGGCTTGGCATGAGGAGCGCCTGAAGATAGTGTAGGATACAGCAAGGTCTCTATCTGCTGATCATAATGTCATAGTTAACTTGCCAGCACCTAACAACAACAATAACAACAACCAGTTTCTACAGCCTAAAGTTGATGGCTCATGCAATTAGGATGATTAATAAAGTATGGTGGTTGAAATAAAAAGTTGGAAACAAAGAAGAAGGATTGGGGGTTGATAAGTAAGATAGATGCACAGACTACAGCAATCCAGTTTTTACGCATTGGAGCTGGAATTATGGTTCTTAAAAAAATGAATCAGATTGAAGCTGATGGTACAAGTTTTGACTGGGCTTATGTGTTCTGTTATCAAGACTGTCAACAAATACAGGTATATCATTTTAACCATAGTAATACTTTGGTCTGCAGAAAGGATTGCCATTTAGCTTATATTCCCTATGAAAACCCCAATATTTCTGGAACTAAACACTCTCTCCTTTCACTGGTATATAATTCATATAATTTATCCACTTTAAAAAAATCTCATTTACATGCAAGGAAATTCATATACACACATGGTTCAGGGGACGAGGAATATGGAGAGATTGAACAAGAGCAAGAATTGAAAGAAGGCGAAATATAGTCTGAAGATTCCAAGTACATAGGTTTAAAAAAAATTCATAATAGAAATAACTATATTCTTTTGTACTTTATCTATTGGTAAAAAAACCTATTTTGTTTCTATCATAATGTATTTATAAGTGACTGAAGCTCTTATGTTGTGATTTTCTTTTACGTGTGTGTGTGTGTGTGTGTGTGTATAATATACACATAAACAGAAGCTACTTTTTCATTCTGTTTTAATATCCATACTGACATTATTTTAATAAATAAATAAAGAGAAAGTATATCGTAAATTAGTTTCCAGTGTTTCAAGATTAAAAATAGTGATACTTTTTGAGCATATAATAAAATACATATGTGACTAAAAATGGAGTCGAAGCAATACTTGAAAAAAGACAAAAGGAACAGCTTAACACTGTCCTAGAAAGACAGAGATTGAAGCAGCAAATCATTTTAAAATGCATATAATTAATTGTCAAACTTGATGTTGTGAAATTTAATTAAACATGTCCTGGCCATTTGGGTTTTGAAATGCTAGCTAAAATACTAAGTGAAAGATATGAGGAATCGATATTCTTCTCCTGGCATTTGGTTTCAGTTATATAATAGCTTTTCTTACGAGGGATGTAGGAGAGGTACTGGTATTTTCACCTTCATCTACAGGAAAATGAACCTTCTATAAAGGGTAAATCTATTAATTAGAGACCTGCACAGCTTTCTGTCTTGCTAGTGTAATCGTTAAATTGATTTTTCCAGTCCATCATGTAATTGTTCCAGCGGCGAAATCCTGCTTTCCACTCTAGTTCTGCTTTATCAATATTTCCTGTAAAACAATGAAAAGTTATATTAATCTAACTTTGAAACTGTTTGCATTAATTGAAAAATAATTTTAATTACAGAACCATTGTCTTCAAATAGATTACACCCCATTTTTTAAAAATTCTTTATTATTATCAGCTTGTTGTTTGGCCAGTATTTTAAAAAGTATTTCTGTCTGAGTAAGAAGTTATGCATATTTTGTTGTTGTTGTTGTTGTGTACCACTGAGTCAGAATGAAGGCATAGCTGACCCTTCACCGGGTTTTCGGATGCATCAAACAGCCTAGGAAGAGGTTGCCCATCTTTCTCCCATAGAGAAGCTGATGGATTTGAACTGTATACCTTTGTGTTAGCAATGAAATTCTTTACCACTATGTTACAAAAGGTCCTATATGTATACATATAAAGAATATAATGTATATAATAGACAATGTATAAAATTTGAAAATGGTTTAATATGTAATTATATTACAATGTTATTTTAAGGCAAATTATATCACAGTACATATTAGCTTTCATTTCCAAGGAATCGTGCAGATAATTCTCTTGACTAATTTATCCATTAGTCAAAATATCTCATTTATTTGTATTTATAGAAACTATTCATTTGCTAAAACTATTTACATATTAATATTAATGTTCAAGGATAAGACTATAAATGAGATTATGTTGTCCAGTATTTATGGTCCAAATGATTTTCTGTACTTTAACTTTTATTATAGGAGTGTGAGGGAACATCAAGTCAAGCTTGACTCAGTGACGCTATGAACAAAAGACTTGAAGCCTTTCTATAACTATTGTCATTTCTCAAAGTTCATAGAGTTTCCAGAGGCATGTTGTTTAGGAAGTGAGTGCCACTCCTACTTACACACACACACACACACACACACACTGGAACAATAATATCAACAGAGCACTACCAGAGATACAAGCTGGATTTTAAAGAGCTCATGACACTAGAGACATCATTGCCAATGTCAGATGGATCTTGAAAGCAAAGACTACCAGAAAAATATTTATTTGTGTACTACTGACGCTGCAAAGGCATGTGTCAAGGTATCACAGTAAATTATGGCTGACAGTGACAAGAATGTTCTCGATCTCAGAGCATTTGATTGTGCTCATGCAAAATCTATGTTTAGACCAGGAAGCAGTCATCAGAACAGAGGAAGGAAACTACATGGCTCAAAATCAAGAAAAGAGTGCATCAGGGATGCAGCCTTTCTCCTTACTTTTTAAATCTATATGTGGAACAGATCATTCAGGAGGCTGGACTTTATGCGGAGAAATGTGGCATCAGGATTGGAGGAAGACTCATCAACAACCTACATTATGCAGATGACACAACCCTGCTTGCTGAAACTGAGGAAGACCTGAAGCACTTGCTGCAGAAGGTCAAGGACTGCAGCCTTCAATATAGATTAAAGCTCGACATTAAGTAGACAATGATTCTTAGCACTGGGCCAATAGGTAGCATAATGATAGATGGAGAAGAGATTGACACTGTTAACAATTTCTGCTTGCTCAGTTACACAATCAACACTCTTGGAACTAGCAGTCAGAAAATTTAAAAGACAAATTGCAGTAGGAGCACTGGCTGTCACGGACCTCGCCAGCATGCTAAAGAGCAATAATGTCAGTCTAGAAACTAAGGTGCACCTGATACAAGCCATACATACATAGCTTGTCAATGAATAAGGATGACAGAAGAATCTATATTTTTGAGTTGTGGAGCTGGTATGAATATTGAATGGATTGCTAAGAGAATAAATAGGTCTTTCCTGGAAAGAGTCAAACCAGTTTTCTCTTTGGAGGCAGATTTTAAAATTCCATCTTACATACTTTTGGCTTGTTGTGAAGGGAGACTGGTCCTTGGAAAAGGGCATGACCCTGGAAACCAGCGGGGTGGCACGGGTAGCACAGAAGAGGAAGACTGGATGAGATGAATTGACACAGCAGGGTAATGGGGTTAGGTGTGTCAGAGACAGTGAGATTGGCTCAAGATAAGACAGAGTTCAGAGCTATTGTGTATAGGGTCACTATGGGTCACAGGAGGCTTGATGGCACATAATAACAACTACAATAATGTTTTTATAAATATGACCTGCTAATTTGTATTTATTATTGTTTCCTCATTATGCCATGTATTAAAAGAATGTTTTAATTTTATTTTTTTTAATCCATTTATTTTTGCATGGTTCTGACTTCTTTAAAATTACTTCAAATGGAACCGAATCTTTTTCTGGCTTGAAAACAGAGGCAACTTTTATAGCTCTGTGCGGGTTTGGGGGAGATATAAAAAAGGATCAATTTTCTCCACTTGAGGATTCTCTGTGAAAAAGAAGGATACAGCCGTAAGAGACAAGAATGATTGAAAGAATGTGTTCAGCACGCATGAGTGATCCGGGTAAGTGGTAACTGAGGAATTCTAAACGGCTTCTGGGCTGCTTATGGGATATAGGAGGGGCTAAACTCCTCAGGCAGGAAGCGCTGAGTGAATTTTAGAAACTACAGGGGTCAGTGTTCGCAGAACCAGTAAGCAAAGGGTCATAATGAGAAAGAGGTCATGAGGAAGTGGCGGAGCAAGTAGTAAGAAATGCTCCAATCACTGGCCATAAGAGAGATGCAAATCAAAACCACAATGAGGTACCATCTCACTCCAGTAACAGCGGCAAAGTTTAACAGGAAAGCAAGTAACAGATGTTGGAGAGGATGGAATAAGAAAGAAATTCCTATAGATTGTTGGTGGGATTGTAAAATGGTGCAAGCATTCTGGACGGCAGTTTGGAGCTTCCTCAAAAAGCTGAACATAGAAATTCCAAATGACGCAGCTATTCCACTACTTGGAATATACCTGAGAAAACGAGCACGGAGGCACAAACTGAGATTTGTACACCAGTGTTCATAGCAGCATTATTCACCATCACAAGAACATGGAACCAGCCCAAACGTCCAACCATAAAACAAATGGATTGATAAATTATGGTACATTCACACAATGGAATACTATGCAGCACGCAGGAGCAATAACTTTTTTTTTTTTTTTAGGAGCAATAACTTTTTAAATTATTCTCTAACTTGGGAGGGGTTGGAGAGCTGAGTGAACTAAATCAGTCCCACAAGATAAATATTGATAAATATTTTATTAAGACCGTTATTGTAGAATGAGTTTAAGGATCCAGGAGGGGTGGGAGAGGCTGGAAGCAGAGGGATGTGGATGTGTAGGGGGAGGGGAGATTAATCATTGGGTTGTACAATTTGATGAGTGGGGAGGTGAGGGAAATGGAAAGAATTTGTTCAAATTTGTTTTTGAGTTTTGTAAACAAACTAGTAGAGAAAAAAGTAGTAAGAAGATATTTAGGGCTAGATAGGCAGTTGGAATGACTTGAACTTGGATTTAGAGTTATATAAGAGAACCCATTGGAAGATTTTGAACAGATGACTTGTTGCTGTAGAGGCTATTCAGTCAAGTGTGACTCATAGCAACCCTAAAAACAATAGATCTGACCCCTATCCTTTCCTGTAGCATTCTTATAACTGATGCACTTGGGAAAATTGCTGCAGTCACTGTGTTAGTCCGTCTCGTAGAAGGTCTTTCTCTTTAGCTAACCCTTTCACTTTCCAAGCATGTCCCTCTCCAAGACAGTCTCTCCTAGCAACATGCCTGCCCAAAGGATGTGGGAGGAAGTTTTATCATCATTGCCTTCAAAGAAGATTCTGGGCGCACTTTCTCCAAGACCTGTTTGTTCTTTAGACCGTCCGTGGCATATTCAGTATTCTTCTCCAACACAACAGCTCACAGGCATAATTCTGTAATCCTTATTCATTGTCCAGTGCTCAGATTCATAGCAAGTGATTGAAAAGATCACGGCTTGAATCAGGGGCACCATAGTCTTCAAACTGACCTCATTGCTCTTAAGTAATTTGGAGAAGTTCCTGACAGCTGATAGCTGACTTTCTCAATGCAGTATACATTTTCGGATCTCCTGATTACTAGTAACAAGTGTGTTGATTGTGGATCCAAATAAAGTGATATCGTTGATAACTTTGATCTTTTTGCAATTTATCATGACATGTTTCTCATAAGTACAGAGGTGAGGATTTATTTTTCGTCTTGATGTTGAGAGGAGATGAGAGGATTTACTTTTAAAAAAATCTCTCCATTTTGTGTCACATAACTATGAAATTTACATCTAAAAGGATCTACTAGACACTTAATGTAGGTTCTCTTCCATCTAACAGAACCTAATGAATAATAACTGTCCCATAACCTTTTGTTTGATTAGCTAATCAAGAGTTAACTTGTCTTTCCGCTAGAATCTTATTTTGTTTAGAGAATATGAAATAAAAGTGACTCTGAGCTATTTCAATTTTTCCTAATTTATGGGAATCCCCTAAGGGAAGAGTAGAGAAACAACAGTTTGCAAACTGTGAAAAGAAGACATCAAATGTGATGTCAGCTGATGAGTGCGCAATAATCATCAAAAAGTTATTCACAAAAGAAGAAAAAAAACACCAAAACCAGTCCACACAAGACAACCTTGGCGATAGAATGGATATGAAAGGGTTTAGAATCCACGTCAGCAAAATATTTGTTTAGTTCTCTCAGGATAGGAATAAAGGGTGACCTGTATTTTTTTGTCTGTGCTATAGCTGTCTTGTAGGTCAAGTGTCTTCCTGCGTTTTTGAAGCTTCTCCTAAATGACACAGACACAACTGCACAAAATTAGTACAGTTCCCGCTTACAGTCCAATCAGTGTGTCATTTGTTCCTTGTGTACATTAGAAAATACCACACAAGATGTGGCGCTAGTGAGAACTGGGAAACAAACAAATCGACAAAATGACTCATGGCACTCCTCATTCTCCAGAATTGGAAACTATTTAAATAGTTCGGAAGCTCTGGTGACTCAGTGGTAAGTTGGGTTGCTGCAAACCGAGAGGCACACAGTTCAAATCCACCAGCTGCTCCGGAGAATGACGAGCAATATTCTTCCGTGATATTT